CATATCAGATATTTACATTATGATTCATAACAGTAGCAGAATTACAGTTATGAAGTAGCAATGGAAATAATTTTATGGTTGGGGATCACCACAACATGAGGAACTGTATTAAAGGGTTGCGGCATTAGGAAGGTTGAGAACCACTGCTTTAAAGTATCAAAAATTGTCAGTGTTTACCTTTACTGATTCAGCCTACTAATTGCTAAACACACTGGGATAGGAGCTGGGAATGTAATTGTAAAATATATATATATATATATATATATATATATATATATATATCACCCTGTATTCCCATATACAACATCAAAATCTATATCACTTATCTTTTGTTATGTAACAAAAAAGAAGAAAAATATGAAAAATAAAATGGCAATAAATATATATCTATCAACAATTGAATCTAAAAGTCTAAATAAATGAACAAAGAATCAAATGAACAACATAAGCTGATGAATAAAATAGAACGAGAGGCATGGAAACATGGAACAGAGTGACAAATCTTACAGGGAACAGGGAGGGGGTTGGAAAGAGATTAACCAAAGAATGTATATGCATATAGGCATTACCTATGGACATATATGGGAACCAAGTAGAAGGGGACAGTGGGGGGTAGGGAGCCATCTGTAATACTCTCAACAATAAAGATTTAAAATATTTTAAAAAGGGGGTTTTAAGCATGGGTTGACACTAATTTTGTCTTTTTCAGAGTTTATTCTCACTTCAGTGTGAATGTATACTGAAGGAAATCCCAACTTCCTGTAAGGGGATTGTTGCTGTACTCTCAGCAAGAGAGCATAGTAACATAGATTATGGTGGTGGTAGTAGACAGAGAGAAAGAATGATATTGACTGAATGACAGGTAAAATGGACAGTTGATCATAACTTAGGTGTAACACTTGGCATAGACTTGTTTGATTAAATAATTATAAAGACAGGCAATCCTTCCATCATTTACAAATTCAGTTTTTCCTTCACTGATCTTTTCCTTCATACATGAAGGTAGGAATTGAATCTGAGTAACTTGCATCCTCTCATAGCATTCTTTCCATCACACATATATTACATTTTTATTAAGTTCCGCATTGGAAACTTAACTGAAGATTAAGTGCTAAAATAAAAAATATCAAAATACCCCAAAATAAAATACATTAAGTTTTATTAGTTCCAACACAAGGCCTAATGGTAGCAGATGGTTTGTGATCATCTTAAACAGGAGTGATCAACATGATCAACAAGAAGTGTGTCCTGAAGGCTTTCCTTGGCAAACGAGGCAATCAGGGGGAAATGTGGCTATTTCTGAACACTATTTTTTCATATTTTTACTCTGAAATGAAGGCAAATAAATTTAGTAAACTTAATGGTAGCAATGCAATTATATAAATCATTTAGGTGTGCTTTTTGATAATGAACAAGTGGATTTGGTTAAAATTATTTTTAACCAAATGTTATTATCACTTAAAATGGTGCTGAGTACTTTTACAGGAAGATTCTTCTGTGGAAAACTCGGCTGATTGTGGGAGAATGAAAGTTTCAACTTTTCTGCAGTTTTATTAACACCAATATAAATATTACTATAAAAATCCTTATTTCTCAGGGAGCAGAAACTTTGAGACACTTCAGGGTCATTTCAGTCCTCTTTACCCTAAGAAATATTGAGGTGCTGGCTTGCTTACATAGAGGCAAGGCTGTGCATGGTCCGGAGACGGAGGCAGGCCTAAGGATGCTTCCTGGCACTATTATCTTTTCAGGCTGACATGGACCTCATTTGAGAGGTTAGACCTCACTCGACCCATGTCACTCTCTGTGGACGAAGCATTTGTCATCTCTAGTATAAGTAGACTTTTGTGGACATGAAATGTACTCCTAAGTATAGTCTATCAGAACATAAATTATCTACAGATCTAAGATATACAAGTACAGTAATGACTAAGCTCAAGGTCATATGTAGGAGTGACCCTTTATATTGTGTTTTTAAACTTTAGAAAATATAATGAAAAAAAATAAAAAGTCAATTCAGTAGGAAGCAAATCAGGGTAAAATAGGAGGTATAAAAAGGAATGGAGGAAATCTAAGAAAAAAATGGATACTTATATCAGAGGCTCAGTTATAAATGTTTGCATTTGTGTGTTACCGATTGTAGCTTGAGAAAAAAAAAGGCAGGGATGTATTCTGGCCATTTGTGTTTATTCCCAAATTTAAGGTTCTGCAGCATAAGCATAAAAGTCTGCCACAGGGAGAGCTTTTTGTATCAATGCCTCATTTCCTTGCCTCACAACTTCACGTCACCTTATGAAAATCAGTGAGCGAGGAAACAAAGACAGAATGGCTGAATCACTTCTATGCAGTAGTGACAATAATGCTCTCCAGGCACAGTGCTTTGCAGTTACAGTTCTGCTATTTTGCTGAACCAAAAAGGCATTCCTTTTCTTTGCTCTTAAAAAGTTGTTCAACATTCCCATCTTAATAGCAAGTAAGCATGAACAGAACAGTTTCTGATAAACACAAAAGCTGTTTTGCCTCATGATAGTGGATGACAAGTGAGATCTTAACAGCTTCACATCAAATCAGTGGAAAAACAATTATCCATTAAAAATACGTGCAAACGTTTTTCCTCTAAAGCCAGGGATTCAAGGCAACGAGTCTGGAATGTGTTTCTCCCCTTAGGCTGCCTCCATTCCATGAAACATCTGTCTCAATTTCCTTTCTTCCTGGAGCCTCCTTTGGTCTCTCTGCATACCCATTCCTTCCGCGTCTGCCTCATTCTGACCCTGCAGATGGAGCCCGTATGTCTCTCTGCTTAAAGAAATGTACCCATCCTTCTCAGTGGAGATTTATGGCCTTATATCCTCATGGATGGCTTCCTAATGCACCAAGTGCAGTAGAATTTGCTTTTGGTTTGATTTCATGCTCTAAATATATTAAAGTAAGCATTAATGCAGTCATTGATTCTTCTCAGCAAGATCTCTAGGATTAAGCGTAGAGCTATGGATTAGATATATTCTGGACAAGTAAACTTTTTATATTGTATTCAATAAGTACTTGGTTGTATATTATGCCTTGAGGTATAACGATATATGACAGACATAACTGAGAGGGTACCATCTAGTAAGCTTGGAGAGGCAGGGAAAGAACGGAGCCACTGTAGCACAGTTCAGGACGGGCTGAAAGGAAGAGACTGCAGAAGCCCAGAGGGAGACATGCTTCAGAAATGTGCACTCACAAAAGGAAGTTTAGGTGATTGTTTTTTAAAAACTAATTTTCTTTTGTGAAGCAATATATTCAAATTTATCAAAAATAACATTGAATAAGTGTATCTTTAAAATGTTATTGTTGCCCTGGCCTGTGTTTCTGAGTGGTTGGAGCATGGACCCACAAACTGAGGGGTCATGGGTTTGAATCCCAGACAAGGGAACGTACTTGGTTGCTGGTTCAATACCCAACCCTGGCCAAGGCACTTGCCTACCTTCCACTCTCTCTAAAAACAAACAAACAAACAAACAAACAATGGAAAAAAATATCCTCAGGTGAAGATTAACAAAAATAAGAATAAAAATAAAATAAACCGTTAATTGTTATCTAAAATATTCATAAAATATCTGCCCTAATTATGTATGTATTTTATACAGGGAAGTAATAGCTTGTATATCATTTTGACATTAAATAAATTAGAAAGTAATTTGTATGGGGGTTTTTTGTTTGTTTTTGCTTGTTTAATGAAAGCAAATAAAGAAGGCTGGAAAGGATCAAGAGGCCATGTCAGCCTGCTAAAGAAAAAATCTGGGTTTTCCTGGGGATGCCATGGGGAAACTAGGCCCCTGTGGGTGAATCTGGCATGTTGCCAAACAATTGTTTTGAACAAAATTCCTGCCCAAGGTCACAAGGTCATCAGGAAGGTAGACATTTATTAATACAAATGACATTGAGACAAGGAAAGGGAGTTGAGAGTAAGGGGTTATTCTAAATGCAAACAGTGGTCTTAGACGCAATAACATTACTTATAATATGCATGTAAGAAGAGAAAAGCTAGTTTAATCTAAAATACAATCCCTGAAAAATCATTTGAGTGTTTTTTATTATTTTTTTAAATATAGTTTATTGATTTTTTACAGGGAGGAAGGGAGAGGGATAGAGAGTTAGAAACATCGATGAGGGAGAAACATCAATCAGCTGCCTCCTGCATACTCCCCACTGGGTATGTGCCCACAACTAAGATACATGCCCTTGACCAGAATCAATCCTGGGACCCTTGAGTCTGCAGGCCAACCAACACTCTATCCACTGAGCCAAACCAGTCAGGGCTATTTGAGTGTTTTTTAAATGCCTTTTATTGTCAAAACTCTCAAAAAGGTCAATTTTGACATTCCCAAATATCATTGACAATGCTTGTTATTCAAAGTAATATTTAAAATATATAAGAAATGGCATATCATCATCAAATCATATAGCCTACATATATTGTATTTTAGTAGGAATAATACTTTTCAGTAAAATACAATTGGAAGAAGTGTAAGTTGTTGTAAATAAACAGAATATTTGAATCCAGGGACCAAAGATTAAAAGAACTGAAATATACATGACAATTTTTTCTTGGTTATTATCCTCAAGGGGAACAGAATTAGGGTGGCAGGGTGAAGGGGGCTGTGCACACTTCTGGGTGAATCTGAATTTTGCACAATTATGCATTCTTGCAATGCTGTATTTAGTAAACAATAAATTTAGGTTTTTTAAACTTATGGAATTAAAAAATATATAAAGATGTTTAAAAGTAGAAGAACCATCCCCCCAAAAAGACATTCTTATTACTAAGATATAAGAAGCAAAACGAATTAAAAACAATAGCAGTAACTAGAACCATATGTGCTCTCCCAGGCAAGCAGGCCAGTCACAGTGTTGAACTTCAGAACATGAGTGCCCTCTTGTGGCAAACATGAATATCTGAAATTTGTCTTACTGCCTCTGGGTAATAGAGATTGTGATCAAATTCTGTTCTTTTTCAGATTGAAATAGCAACAATGATGCCTTCAGGGAACAGAGAGCTCCTCACCCCGCCCCCACAGCCAGAGGAGGCTGAAGAGGAAGAGGAGGAGGAGTCCACCCCCAGGCTGATTGACGGTTTTTCCCCACAGGAACCTGAATTCACCAGGGTTCTGGGTCCACACACCAGTGAAGGTTAGGTCCATTTGGTCATCCCTCTAAATTGCCAAGCTCCAAGTCCACAGGGGACCCACATCACCCAAGGAGAAAGTTCTGCAATAGGCTAGGTTTGAAACAGGAGATGCACATGTATTTTGTATTCAAAGATAAAGTAGTTTGAATAATTTAGCTCAGGCATGATGAAAATTTTCAAATAACCAATGAAAATATTTGTCCAACATCATTACTCAAAACCTTTGTGGTGGATGGAATGCATTTTCAGAACAAAGGATACCCTCTTAGCAAGATCAGAATCTATGTCTGAGAGGTCAGGCCACGGCAGTTCAAGGTGATAAGGTTTTTTATGATAAATGAAATGATGATAGTAGTAGCAATAATATTTACGTTGGTTGAGCACAAAATATCTGTGGGCCATAATGCTCAACACTTCACCTTATCTCATTTGTGTATTACAAACTCCCTGTGAAGGTGTCAGCATTAATCTTTTCATTATTACTGAGGCAACTAGCTTTAAAGGGGTAGGAACTTGCCAGAGATCACATAGCCATTAGTTTCACATGCTGGGTTTAAAGCTAGTCTGTTCTGATTTTTATCTGTATAGTTCTTCTCCTAGGAAGTAGCAGAGAGAGGAAAAGAGAGGAAAGTGGTTCATTACACTGAATTCCATCTTGTTTAGTTTAAAGGTGATCTAAACCAGAGCATTTTGTTAACAAGAAGGAATGCCTGGTGCTACATGTGATTCTATAATTTGTCTATATTTGTTGTTAGAATTTATAAGTGTCATTCTTGGGGTTATCAAGTAGACTCACTCCAAAATACTTACACACACACACACACACACACACACACACACACACACACACACACGATAGAGAGAGAGAGAGAGAGAGAGAGAGAGAGAGAGAGAGAGAGAATGGCATAAGGGGCGGGGTATAGAAAAGTGAGTAGAATTTCCACTACAAAGGTTTAATTACTATTGAGTATCTTTGTACTCAAAGCTCTAAAGATACAAAACTTACCTTATAATGACTACTTTTTCACAGATACTTCCGTCTAGAACAGGGAGACAGACATGGAAACAAATTTAGAGGCTATAAAGCGTTACTGGTGATGTGAGAAAAGTCTGTAAAGAATATACTGAGCAAGCAAAGAGAGAAGAGAGCATTCAAATCAGCTTTGCAACTGGCTGGATATACTATAATCTTGAGCAAAGCATTCAATGTTTGGTGGTTTTTTGGCTCAATTTTCTCATCTAGAAAGTGGGATAATAAGTACTAAATCTTACCTCATAGAGTTTTGTAAGGATTAAATGAATGAATGAATTTAGTACCTGGCCCATAGTAAACATAGTAAATGTTAATTCTAATTATTTTATTTTTGATAAAAGAGATTATCTTTTGTTCACTTTCAACACATTTTTCAGGGTACAATAAAGTATCATTAACTACAGGCAGATATCTGGAACTTACTCACTTTGCATAACCGAAACTTTATGCCTGTTGAACAACAAATATCCATCCCCCTTCTCCCCGCCCCTGTAACCACCAATCTACGCTCTGATTCTCTGAGTTTTTAACTAAAAGTTGTCTTTGCGACATGCTGCCTAGATGCCAGCCACGAAAGTGTTCTATGTGCATTAACTCTTTGAAGAGTCACAACAATGCCATGCAGTAGGTATGGATATTTCTGCTTTATAAGTAGGAAAACTAACATTCCAACATGCTATTAAAGTCCAATGTATGGAGGAGGTACATACTGGTGCTGGGATGCAGACAGAGATCACCAAACTCTAAGTCTTTAAGAAATACCTCATATTCTTTCCACATAGTTAGCTCTCTACAAACAGAACCAGGGAATGCACACACAATTACAAGGAAATGTGAGTACCCAGCAGAAAGCCCTCAGAGCAGGGAATTTAAATAGCCCTAGAATATTACTTACTTTTAAGTAATTTCAGATTCTTCAAACGTTGATGAATCTGGCATCATTAGCTATAGTTAGGTATTTTAGCTGAGCCAGGAACAGCACAAAAGCACAATGCCCAATTTTTTAGTCAAAATTATGGCTCCATAGTGTCAGCTTTGAGATAATATTAAAAACAATCTATGACTTTTCAAAAAAAAATGTTGTCTCTAAGGTAGTTTCAGTGTAATAAAGTGAAATTTTTAATTCACATTTTAATTTCAAGAGAAAAAGCATCACCAAAAATTCTAAATTTAAAATTAAATTCACATATTATAAATTCATCAAAGTTAAATAGTTTGGAAACATTTATCGCATTAAATATAAAAATATCATATTTTAATTATTAATACAAATTTCTAAAAATAATATTCTGAAATCATATAAAGTAGGCTTGAGTTATAAATGGAAAAAGTAGAATTAAATTATTAACTGGTGTGAATATATAATTACTCTGAAAATTTATTACTAGATTAGCATGACCATGAATATATAGAAGAATAAAATTCCTTACTTTAAAAAAATATAATAACTGAAAAATATTAATTCATATTGATTGGAGAAATCAGTAAGTATTAAATATTTTGCAGCTCCCTCTTAAATGTTTTCTCTAGATTTCCATTCATAACATAGTTTTTATTTCTAAAGTTGTTATTATAAATTACTAGAGGCCTGGTGCACGAAAGTTCATGCACTCGGCAAGGTCCCTCAGCCCAGTCTGCAGCCTCTCACAGTCCGGGACCCCTCGGAGGATGTCCAACTGAGGCTTAGGCCCATGGGGAGTGGGCCTAAGCCATCAGTCGAACACCCTTAGCACTGCCGAGGAGGCAGGAGAGGCTCCCACCACTGCTGTGCAGCTGTCAGCCTGGCTTTTGGCTGAGCAGAGCTCCCCCTGTGGGAGCGCACTGACCATCAGGAGGCAGCTCCTACATTGAGCATCTTCCTCCTGGTGGTCAGTGAGCATCATAGCAACCAGTCATTCCTAGTTGCCCTTAGGGTCAATTTGCATATTACCCTTTTATTATATACTAGAGGCCCAGTGCATGAAAATTCATGCACTGGAGGGGGGTCCCTCAGCCCGGCCTGCCCCCTCTCATAGTCTGGGAGCCCTTAGGGGCGGAGGCAACCCAGTGATCAGGGGAAGGCGACGCCCCATCACACCTCTGCTGCTGCCACTGCTGGCAGCACAAGCCTTTGCTGGCCCTGGTTACCTGCGCCTCAGGCCGGCCCTGGGTGGCTAAGGGGCTGAGGGGACTGGGCGCCGCCATCTTGTGGCTGTGGGTGCCGCCATCTTTGAGGGCGGGGCAGTAAATTAGCATATTTCCTCCTTATTGGCTGTGGGCGCTGCCATCTTTGTGATGGCATGAGGGTCAATTAGCATATTCCCTCTTTATTAGATAGGAGGATTTTTCTATTTAATGATAGCAATACTACCTTAGTAAGTGCCTTACTAGTTCTTTTCTGTGAGGGGAGTTGCAATGCTTAGAATGTTTTATACAAATTGTTATAATTAAGCTAAATAGAAAAAAACATAATTAATATTTACCAAAACATTGATAACATCACACACATGTAAAATTCAGGAAGGTCTTAAAAAGTTTACAGGTTGAAAATTATGGGGGGCCCTAACCGGTTTGGCTCAGTGGATAGAGCGTCGGCCTGCAGACTGAAAGGTCCCAAGTTCGATTCCAGTCAAGGGCATGTACCTTGGTTGTGGGCACATCCCCGGTAGGAGGTGTGCAGGAGGCAGCTGATCGATGTGTCTCTCTCATCGATGTTTCTAACTCTCTATCCATCTCCCTTCCTCTCTGTAAAAAATCAATAAAATATATTTAAAAAAAAAGAAAATTGTGGGGGGAAATGCATATAACAGCTCACTGTTGAGTATGGCATCAATAAAGTATGTAAGATCTTTGAGTGAATGTTGTCCCAACTCTTCTGCAATCCAGTGCTCCCTAGAAATTCAGAATCAGAGGTAGCCAGAGGAAGACAAGTCAAGAGTTGAGATAGTCACATAACTTATGGTATAATTTCCTTCATCCTATTGACTGTGTTGAGATTAAACAGCCAAAGTGTTTTTCTTTAGCCTCTGCTGATATTCTAAAATTTATAAAGAATATGAGAAACTTATCGTTGCTTGAACAAAAATTCGAAAAAGGCTGAGCGGGAAATATATTTGTACGAAAACTATAGGGGATGATTCATTAAATATCTTAGTTGCATTGTTAGTTCTTGATCTTTGAACTAAGGCAACAAGGTGTCTCTGTGAGTGAGGGGTTTCCAAATAGGGGATTTTCAGTGCTAAAACCAGAAAAGTTTCAGCTAAATCGGATGAATTGATCACTGAGCAATCTCAAGGAAGTTCTTCCATCACATTCTTCTGTAATTATTATGGCTTATTTCACTTTCTTCATTCATCTCACCTCTCACAACCCTTCCCTTCCTTCTCCCTTTACTCCTCAAACTCTTTAGGAAACTCAGTCTTCTACTTCACAAAGAAAATGCAATCTTCCAGTCAGCAGCTCTTTGGTCTTTCTGTTTTCAGACAAATAATTACCTACAACTACATCTCTCCTATTGCAACAGAGGAATGTGTCCTCCGGCGTGTGGCTTTGCATTCTCCCGCTGGGCTTTAAACTTCATTTCCTATCGCCCTCTCGGGACCCTTCTTTAACCTCTGCTCCTTTGGATTCCTGCAAACCTTCTAGCTTAGTCAATATCCCTCATTATACACAACACAAAAAATCTTTTTTAAAAGTAACTGTTTTTTTTCTTCCTTTTTACAAATATCTCAATAACATTGTCTACTAGTATACTTGCTGTAACTATTTCCTCACATCCAACTTTCTCCTTCGTTGACTGTAATCTGGCTTCCAGCCTCATCACTCCACAGCTCTTGCTGAATCTCCTGTAACCATCACAACTAACCCAGGAGACATTTTCAACCCAAGAGATATTTTATTTGCCTGGCATCTCAGCAGCCTTGTTTTCTATTTCCTTTTCTTTCCAACCCTTTCTCCACTTGGTCTCCATAATATTGCCCTATCCTCCTTCCCTCCTTTCCTTCTGATCATGACTTCTGTCTCCCTTTGAAGACTGTGTCCTCTACATGAGTACTAAACAGAGAATGAAGGAGGGATAGGTGTGTCTGTGTGTGTGTGAGAGTGTGCGTGTGAGTGTGTGAGCATGTGTGTGTGTGAGAGAGTGTGCGAGGGATAGGTGTGTCTGTGTGTGTGTAAGAGTGTGTGTGTGTGTGTGTGTGAGCCTGTGTGTGTGTGATAGATGGAGAAAAACAGATTAGTAAGTTGATATTTAATCCAGCCTAACAAATATCTTTTGGCTCTGTTGCCTTTTCTATCATGATTACCCTAGCGACCATCATCTTTTATCTAGACAACAACTCATCTCCACTCTGCCCACTGACCCTCCTTCAGACTTCCTCTACACCTTCAAGCAGAGTGATATATTAGCATGCAAATCTGACAATGATTAGGATAAGGAACAAAATCTGTAACACAGCCTACCAGTCCTACACATTTCAATACTCTCCCAGTGGTTCTCAACCTTCCTACTGCCGTGACCCCTTAATACAGTTCCTCATGTTGTGATGACCCCCCAACCATAAAATTATTTTCGTTGCTACTTCATAACTGTAATTTTGCTACTGTTATGAATCGTAATGTAAATATCTGATATGCAGGATGTATTTTCATTGTTCACGACCCACAGGTTGAGAACCGCTGCTACGCTATAACAACATGGACCATCTTTCAGTTCCTCCAAACTGAAGGATCAGGACACCTGCTGCTTCCTCGGTCTGCGTATACTTCCCTCACTCAAACATAATTGACTCCTTCTCTTCTTGCAGATTTCAACTCAATTATCACCTTCTCAGACAACCACGATTCTCAAACTGGGTCAAATTTTTCTATTTTATGCTAATATGATATTTTATAATATTTACAACAGTCATATTTCATTTATTGTGTGATTATCATTCTTCTTACATATCAGATCATAAAATAGAACTCTGTCTCTTTATGCTCACCACTGTTTCACTAGCTAGCATAGTGCCATTTACATAGAAAAGTTAAAAAAATACATACTGAGTGAATTAATACTAGTGATTATTACCCTGTTTTTCTTGAAGCAGATTTTGTTTCAGTGGAGTGTTTACTGAACCAATGACTTAACACAAACATTGTATGTGATGCTTTAAATTTATAAAAACGACAATATTAAGGTACATATTTGAAAATAGCATTTCTAAATATAAAAGCAACAACTGTGCAGTATACATGCAATCATTTTAAATTTTATAACATTAAAAAAATATACTAATTATTGGGTCAGTTTTAATTGGTATATTTGACTAGTATTCCATTTACAGAAAACTATATAAAAAATATGAAATCTATCAGAATTATCTGCATGAGATTCTAATCTTGTTTAACAAACATTACTAGTCACATTGTTAGAAATTGCTTTTGTTAATTTTAATTATTTGCATCTATCTTTTAGATTTTCCAACCTGCCTTCTGTGTACCTGTATAAGTACCACTGTATACTGTGATGACCATGAACTTGATGCTATTCCTCCACTGCCCAAGAACACTGCTTATTTCTATTCCCGCTTTAACAGAATTAAAAAGATCAACAGAAATGACTTTGCAAGCCTAAGTATGGATGATAGCACTAATGGCCTTCTTTTTTTTACAGAATTTCTTAAAATTTTTGCACTGTAAAATAGTGGTTCTGGAAATGATAGCTGAATATTAAATACTAGAGGCCCAGTGCACAGATTCGTGCACCAGTGGGGTCCCTCAGCCTGGACTACAGAGATCAGGCAGAAACCGGCAGTCCGACATCCCCTGAGGGGTCCTGGGGTGCGAGAAGGCACTCTGCAAAGTTGCTGTCGCTTGGCAGCTCCTGTGTTGAGCGTCTTCGCCTGGTGGACAGTGCACGTCATAGCTACCAGCCGATCAGCCAGTTGCTTAGGCTTTTATATATATAGACTAGAGGCCCTGTGTACAAAATTCATGCACAGGGGTGAGGGGGTGGTCCCTCAGCCTGGCCTGCACCCTCTCTAATCCGGGCCCCTGCAGGGATCAGACCTAAACCAGCAGTTGGACATCCCTCTCATAATCTGGGACCATTGGCTCCTAACCGCTCGCCTGCCTGCCTGCCTGATTGCCCCTAACCACTCTGCCTGCCTGCCTGATCTCGCCCCTAACTGCTCCCCTGTCGACCTGATCTTGCCCGTAACTGCTTGCTCCCCCTTGCTGGCCTGATCACACCCCTAATTGCTTGCTCCCCTGCCAACCTGATTGCTCCTAACTGCCCTTCCCTACTAACCTAATCACCCGTAACTGCCTCTGCCTCAGCCCCCGCCATCATGACTTTGTCCGTAAGGATGTTGGACATCAGGAAGACTTCCAGCTGATCCGGTCTAATTAGCATATTACCCTTTTATTAGTATAGATGTCTCATAAATCAATTATCTTTTTTCTCATATAACCTTTTGAAGATTTGTTTTAATTATGATAAGAAAAAATGCTGAATAATTAAAGGTCATCAAGAAACTATTGATATTTTCAACAAACTAATTGTAACTACATAAAAATCATAAGTAACTATTTTATAGCCTAGAACTTATTATCATTTTATGGCAATAAGAGTAAGGTGTCAGGATCAATTATTTATGAAAATTTTTTTATGATCAAAGAATCTAAGTCTAAATTCTGAAATTATAATTGTTGCCAACATAGAAGAATTTTTGTACTTGTCTTCATAAAGTGTTTTCATTACTAAACATTTATTTGTAATACCTTTGTATTTTATACTAATATATCTTTGACCACTAGAAAAAATATAACAATCTGTCATCCCTGTGGAAAATGTTTTAAGTAGTAAAATCCAGATATAGTTTATTTAGACTATTGGGGAAAGACTAGTTATTTTAAATATAATGTGTCAGTTTCTTTGCTAAAGTCATAATTTCTTATAATTGCATAAACATGAACCATATTTGGAGAGAACAAATTTTCTAAAGTATTTAGAAATAATTCTTTAATTAACTTGTGTTGCTACTTAAATTCATGCTTATGCTTTTTTGTATATAGGAAATTTATATTCATATTTTTATGTGAACAGAACATTTCAAGAATATTAACTACTTCCTCACTTTTTCTTCTAGATGATTTAAGGAAGATTGATTTGACATCAAATTTAATATCTGAAATTGATGAAGATGCATTCAAAAAGCTGCCTGAACTCAGAGAGCTTATCCTACGTGACAACAAAATAAGGCAACTTCCAGATTTGCCAACCAGTCTGACCTTCATTGATGTTAGCAACAATAGACTGGGAAGAAAAGGGATAAAGCAAGAAGCATTTAAAGTGAGTTTTAAGTTTGGATATAAAAGACTTTCATCTTCCCATTCCATTTGTGGTCAATGACTAGCCTTTTTATTTCTATAAAGGAATTCACTTGGATGAGACTTATAACTGCAAAAGTAAACTTTACAACACTACTTATCATGCTTGTGGGAAATACTGTGCTCTGGTACATTTTGAGGCTAGTCAAGCACCAAGAACAGAAAGCAGAAGTGGAATAAGAAGTGGGTGGCTCTCTGGAAATAGTGCTAAGCAGATAATTTGTTTTTACCAAAAACTCCACTGATGGGGAGCATTTAATGTGGTTAAAAGGTTAACTACTTTTACAGGATGTGGTTATTGCCTTGGGGATAAAAGGCTTCCATATTACTTTAAAGAAGACTGGATTCAGTTAAACTTATGAATTTTGTTTTCTAAGAAAAGGATGCAAGCTGGGGGCTAGAGTAACTTGCTTGGAATAACAGTGTAGAATCTGAGAACAGTAATCCACTGGCTATCTTACTCATTTTTACCCCGTTCAAGCTGCTCCTCTAAATACATGTTGAACACAATAAACAAAAAATACTGTTTGAAAGGACATCACATTATTTCCTTGGTAGCTAGAAGATGTCGTGTGGACCCATTAGCACTGGGCAATAGCAAAAGTCCTATCTCTCTACGAGCCATTCTGTTGGGCAAGAGAGTTAGGGCACCTCAGTAGAGCCTGGCAAGGGTAGAAGTCCGGTCTCTCCACTCATCCTTTGTTGGCCTGGGTGGTGGTGAGTCACAATTTGCCCTGTGGTATTTGGCTAGAGTGGACCTGTTATTGTCTACACTTTTTTTGTCTTGCTAGGTTGTCTTTTCCCTGAAACTCAGGCTAGGAAGAGAAGTCTTTTGTTGGGGAGAAATTCTCATTTCTCCATCCCTATTACATGAAAGAAATTATTGCTATGCCTCACCAAAGTCTTCAAAGTTCTATTGCAGAATAGAGAATGAGAAGTCAGTGCCTTATTTAAACTGAGAAAGTGAAAGTGGACAAAGCACGTTCTTCCTAGAGATTGAGAAACATGTTTCATTTTCATCAAGAGATATCTACTTGTCATTTCTTCCAAAATCCATTTGAATTGTCTAGTATGTAACTTAGAACACTAATCTGCCATAACTTTAGTAAATAAGTCCTAGTCAGGGATGCGGTATTTTATAAATAATTGCATGGACAGAGAATGGAAAATATAACTGTGGCACCACTAATTTCTATTAAGTCCCTACATTTGGAATATTTCCAGGATATGTATGATCTCCATCACCTCTACCTCACAGATAACAACTTGGATCACATCCCTCTGCCACTCCCAGAAAACCTACGGGCCCTTCATCTCCAGGTAGGCTTCTACAGTAAGGTAGGCCCAACAGCTCCATGGAAAACAAAAGCAGAAGGAGGAAGCTGGGACCCAGGAAGCTCTTTATAATGCATGCTGACTCACTGTGACAATTTTTCTTTTTTTTCCCCTTTTTCTTTTTTTTTTTTTTCCTTTTTCTCAGTCATTCTCTTTCTGTGTTTGACTACAAGGTATTTGTATATTAACTGATTTATTTCTAATAATGTTAGTTTTTATTTTCATTCTTTGCCAAATAATAATGCATTTTTTGGCACACAAATATTCTTTTGAAAAAAAGAATGGAAGTTTTTGTTTTTTGTGGGTTTTTTTTTCTGCTGAAGAAGTGTGTAAGGATTAGAAAAGGAAGAAAAACAGAAAGAAAACAGTCTAATTTGATTTCTAGTTTTCAGGGAGAAAATGTCAATTTTAGCCTTTTGATTTTGTTTATTTATTTTTAATATATTTTTTTTTATTTCAGAGTAAGGGAGGGGGATAGAGAAATAGGAACATCAGTGATGAGAGAGAATCATTGATCAGCTGCCTCCTGTACACCCCACATTGGGGATCCAGCCTGTAATTGGGCATATGCCCTGACCGGGAATTGAACTGTGACCTCCTGTTTCATAGGTCAATACTCAACTACTGAGCCACACGGCTAGTCTTTCTATTTTAGCTTTAGGTTTACTAGTATGTATTGAATTAAATTCAACCCTAGGGCATTCTATCTGCTGAGCAATGAGAGACTTCCATCTTTCTGGATTAAGAAAATGCAGTTTTTCCTAAACCAACATATTTGAAAATCTGCTTTATTTAAAATGCCACTAAACTGAGTGAAAACACATTTTCAAAAATGTTATGATCTAATATTTTCTAAATATATTTCATTTAAATATACCAGAAGTATGCTCAATTAAAATAAACATTTTTTGTTGCTAAAGCAAAAAAGATAAATTATTCTTATTTCAGATATAACTTTTGGTATTCAGCTATAATCAACTATCTGTAATAACTTCATGTTTTGTGGAATAAATCTTTAGATAATGCATCCATTGTGTGTTCATAGAACAATATCATGGTGTAAAATTACAATCTTTTGAGAAGATGATTTTGCTATGTGAAAGCAGGTCTCTGATTTCTATGTTTTCCTCTGTGGATTCTGTAAATATTTACCCCTGTGTTGTTCCTTTTAATATATATATATTTCTCTTACTTTTTTGATGTCCTTTTATGTATACCTGTCTCTGAGACTTGGACACTTGTCTCTTCTGAGAGTTTTTTTCTGGTAGCGTTTGCTTCCTTACTCCCTTTCCAGTCCCCGTCCTGTTTTTGGATGGCTCTGTCTTGGTATCTCTTTTTCTGAGAGTGATTTTTAATATGTATAACTGTATGGAGGATTTTCAAGGACATCCTCAAGGAAATTTTATAATGTGTTTTCTAATTATGAGTTAAATGTATTACTATTGAATGTGATGATATTGACTCTAAAAAGTGACCAGATCTCTAATGTTATAGTTAAACACAATGTGCTTGTGTATACAATATGAGATTTCTTTCAAAATAATTGCCTACCCTGGCTGTGTAGCTCAGTTGGTTGGAGTGTTGTCCCGATGTACCAAAGCTATGGGTTCAATCCCTGGTCAAGGCACATACAAGAAACAACCAATGAGCGGAACAACAAGTTGATGTTTCTCTCTCTCTCTCCACCCCCTTCCTCTCTTCTCTCTCAAAATCAATACATTTTTTTTAATTTAAAAAAAATGAAATAAAAGTAATTGCCTTTGGAGTTTCCAGTCAAGATGACTGAGTAGATAAATGCAATACTCTCATCCTCCCATAACTACATCAAAATTACAACTAAAATACAGAACCGCCATCATTCAGAACCACCTGAAATCTAGCTGAACAGAAGTCCTATAACTAAGGCTACATAAATGAAGCCACATCAAGACTGGTAGGAGGGGCAGAGATTCAGAATGAGCTGGTATCACACCCACATGTGGTGGATAAAAATTGGGAGGGCTATCTTGGCTGTGGAGGTTTTCCCCCAGAGGAGGAAAACACCCGGCCCCACACCCGGCCCGATAATGTTCCAGTGCTGGGAAGTCTCTGAATCTCCTGGATATGAAAGTCAGTGGGGGTTATGAGACAGAGGGCTGCTGGAGTCCCAAGCATTGTTTTTAAAGGGCCTATGTACCCAATGGCTCACTGACTCACTCACTCACTCTGAGCTCCAGCACTGGGACAGCAGCTCCAAAAGGTGCCAGTGACACAGGAAGAGCAACTGAATTGTCTGGTTCAGGGTGAGAGCTGGAGGGGCAGCTTTCTCCCAGACAGAAGTTGTTCCTTTGCTGAGTCCTCCCCCTACAGAGCCAGCAGGCAGGTGTGTATCTGAGTCTCCATGAACCTTGCTAACACTGTTTGTTCCACCTCGGTGATTCACCAATATCCCGCCCCATCCAACTTACAGGCCCACCCAGGCTGTGTCCAGTGGCTTCCCATACAAATAGCCTGTCTTGGCTCATGTTGCGGACTTCCTTACAACCTCAAAGAGCATCTGGCCTAGTGTTTCCCATTCTTCTTGCTAAGTGGCTCCAGGCCTGGCAATAGTGGCGGCCAGCTTTAATTCGCAACTTTGCCTCTCCTGGGCACCTCCCAGTAGCAGCCATCTGCTGACTGCTTTGTAGGTCATTGGTGGCCTCAGGCAGGGCACAGGAGGCACCTCCCAGGAGACCTCAGAGCCAGTACACCTGGTGGACAGCTTCAGACCAAGCTGAAGCACAACTCAACTACCTCCACAACAACACACTCCAGGGGCAGGCACCAGAGTCTCCCTGACTGTGTCCTGCTCCATGGAGTTGTCTCTTACACATCAAATCCTCCACTGTTTCTGGCCAGTCCTTATAGCCAATTGACCTTGGGGTAAATCCCTCCCATTGTATGCCAGCAGCAATCAGGTCAACTACAAAAGGAGGACTCATACAGTCCCCACAGAGGGCACAGCTGTAGCTCCCAGTTTGCATGACTGGGGATACTGTACCATTGGGCCTTACAGAACACCTAGTACATAAGGCCACTTTAAAAGACTAGAAAGCATAGCAGCTCTACCTACCATATAAAAACAAATACAGGGAGGCAGCATATATGTTCCAAATAATAAAAAAGAACAAAAAAGAAAAAAAACTCCAGAAAGAGAACTAAACATAATGGAGACAAACAATCTACCAGATGCAGAGTTCAAAACACTGATTTTAAAAATGCTCACTGATCACAGTGTATACTTCAACAAAGAGATAGGAAACATAAAAATGGAGATAGAATCCATTAAAAAGAACCAATCAGAAATAAAAACTATAATAACTAAAATGAAAAATATATTAGAGGGAATCAATAGTAGATTAGATCAAGTAGAGGATCAAATCAGTGAATTGGAAAGTAAGGTAGCAGAAAACACCCAATTATAACAGCAAAAAGAAAAAAGAATCCATAAAAATGAGGATAGCTTACGGGGGCTCTGGGACAACTTCAAGCATACCAGCATTTGCATCATATGGGTACTGTAAGAAGAAGATCAAGGAATTGAAAACCTATTTGAAGAAATAATAACAAAAAAATGTCCCTACCCTGGCAAAGGAAATAGCAATACAAGCCTGAGAAGAGTGTCCCCAAAAAGATAAACCCTAAGAGGCCCACTACAAGACATATCATAAATTGCCAAAGGTGAAAGACAAAGAAAGAATCTCAAAAGCAGCTAGAGAAAGCAGTTAGTTACCTGCAAGAGAGCTCCCATAAAACTGTCAGCTGATTTCTCAACAGAAACTTTGCAGGCCAGAAGGGAGTGGCATGAAATATTCAAAGTGATGAAAAGCAAGGACCTACAACCAAGATTACTCAACCCAGAAAAGCTTTCATTTAGAATTGAAGGTCAGATAAAGAACTTCATAGACGAATAAAAGCTAAAGGAGTTCATCACCATCAAACCAGTATTACATGAAATGTTGAAGGGTCTTTCAGAAGGAGAAGGAGAAGGAGAAGGAGAAGGAGGAGAAGGAGGAGAAAAGATAAGAATATAAATAACAAAATGGCATTAAATACATATCTATGAACAATTATTTTAAATGCAAATTGATTAAATACTCCGATCAAAAGACATAGTGTGGCTGAATGAATAACAAAACAAGACCCTAAGGTATGCTGTCTACATGAGACTTTCTTCATATTGAAAGACATACACAGACTGAAAGTAAAGGGATAGAAAAACAAACCCACAAAAGCTGGAGTAGCACTATTTATACTAGATCAAATAGACTTGAAAACAGAGGCTATAACAAAAGACAAAGAAGGACCCAGCAATTCTACTCTTGGGTATTTAAACACACACACACACACACACACACACACACACACACACACCATTAATCAAAAAGACATACACATTCATATGTTCATTGTAGCATTATTTACAATAGTCAAGACCTGGAGGCAATCTTAGTGTCCACGATATAAGAGAAAAATGTTGATAAGTTGCCTCCCATCAGCACCAGGATTAGGGATCAAAACCCAAAACCTAGGCATGTGCCCTAGGTTTCAAAACCACAATCTTTTGGTGGACTAGACAATGCTCCAACCAACCAAGCCACCCAAGTTCTGGGCCTGTTTTCTTCCTGATGTTTGCTTACTCTCCCCCTCACTTCACTTCAGCCATGTTGACTTTTTCTCATTTTTGAACAGTTTATAATTACTCAGAATTTGAAATTGGTGTTCTCTCTGTCTAGGTTATTATTACCTTGATCTTTCAATGCCCATGTTTTCTTGTCATTCTATTCTGAGCTCCATTGTTATCCCTTAAGATAACTTTTCACAGTCACCATGTTTTATTCATAAGTCTAATATTTTTGGAAATAACTTTTCTGTACACTTTTTTTCACTTTCTTCTCTTATATCACCATTATGGAAGTATAGTCTCTATAAGAGCAAGTACATGTCTTTTTGTTAATTGATTTATCCCCATTGCCTACAAAGTGTTTAATGTATAATAATCACATAACGTGGATTTTGGATGACAGAAGAAACAAAAAAATAAACACTAGGTAAAGAAAAATGCACTTTAATCAGTACTAAGAACATGTTATATCTTGTTATATAATTTATTTTCATCTCTTTTAGAATAACAACATTCTGGAGATGCATGAAGATACATTCTGTGATGTTAAAAATTTGACTTATATTCGGAAGGCACTAGAAGATATCCGATTGGACGGAAACCCTATCAATCTCAGCAAAACTCCTCAAGCTTACATATGCCTACCTCGTTTGCCTATTGGGAGTCTTGTCTAAGTTAGACAATGATTAGCATTACAATGCCTACTATAACAAAACAATTCTTACTGCTCTCTTCACAAACAAAACACAGCATGACAATATTTTTACATTGTGTTCTGAAAGGTATCATCATATAAAATACAGGTCAAAGTATTAAGATATGATGGCAGTTAGGTAATTTTCAAAAACACCATAAATCAGGAATAAACCAAAAGGTGTACAGAAAGTGCAAAACTAAATGATAGAAAATATTTCATAGATATAAATCACATGTAATTTGCAAGTTTTAGGTAACCATAGTCTCTGTAATTTCAAATTAAGCACATAAGAAATAAAAATTAAAAATGAACACTGTAGCCTGGCTGGCATGGCTCAGTGGTTAAGCATTGACCAATGAACCAGGAGGTCACGGTTTGATTCCTGGTTGGGGCACATGCCTGGGTTGCTGGCTCAAACCCAGGAGTGCAGGCATGCAGGAGGTTGCTGATCCATGATTCTCTCTCATCATTGATGTTTCTGTCTCTCTCTCCCTCTTCCTTCCTCTCTGAAATCAATAATAAAAACATGTTTTTTAAAATATGAACACTTTAGGTTTATTACCAAGATTTAGATGTTTCTAATTAAATTTTTCCATTTCTTTTTTTTTCAATAGTGCATGTTTCTATTTCTAAATTTATTGAATAAAATAATAAAAGTATTTAAAAATTATAATGGTCTTGTTTAAAAATATTCATCATAATTACAATATGCAAATAACCATAATAATACACAGAGCTTCAGATTTTGAATAATAATATCTATCATCTTTCAGACCTGTCAACTCATTTTAGGCCTTTACTAAATTAACTACTTACTTAGTGTATTTCTGTGCCTGTGGAAAAAATGAAATTTAAAAATTGAAAATATAGATGATGATATAATAACCATGTTAAGGAAGAAGTTAGGAATGCCTTCTGAGAAAAGTTGATCTCTCTGAAATGTATGACCATAATGTGGGTATATGTTTAAAAACAGAAAGAAATAAAGAATATACAATGAAAGGTGAGTTTATTTCCAGCTGCAAACCCCAAGTTCCATTTCCTAGAAATAGCTAGTCAATGGTTTCTCACATACCTTTATAGGTTTTCCATGAGAAACAAAAACTTGCACGTAAATATTTTCCCTTTTCTACACAAATATACATATTCATGTACTACATGTATATACATATCACCATTATGTATGTATCTATCCATGTAAATATGGATTTTAAGTATGAAAGATAATCACTATTCTGACCTTGCTTGTTTTACTTAAAAATATTTCTTAGCAATTTCTTTCCTTATCAGCCATTCAGTTGATATGCATTTTAGCCTTTTATTATATGGGAGTGGAGCCCTGGTGCATGAAATACATGCACTCGGAGGGTCCCTCAGCCCAACCTGAACCCCCTCGCAGTCCAGGGGCCCTCGGGGGATGCCTGACTGCCATGGAGGCAGGAGAGTCTCCTGCTACCACCACTGCACTCGCCAGCCTTTAGCCAGGCTTCTGGTTGAGTGGTGCTCCCCCTGTGGAAGTACACTGACCACCAGGGGGCAGCTCCTGCATTGAACATCTGCCCCCAGGTGGTCAGTGCACGTCATAGCGACCGGTCATTCTGCTGTTCTGTTGATTTGCATATTAGCCTTTTATTATATAAGATTAAGAGCTATAAAGAAAAAGTAAAATAAAAGGGGCTATAAGAGAGTATATCTCAGCTAGTAGTATAAAAAGTCATTTTTAGGCCTAGAGTTTAACTTTGAAGCATACTAAATGTTGTTTTAAAGTTAGCCCACAAATATATACACATTGTTATAATAGCAACCAACAATTGGACTCCAACTGTATACTAGGTATCTATTAAGATGCTCTGCATGTATTTATTCACAACATCCTAGGAGTTGGGGATACCAATGGCTATTTTAAGTCACAGGTCTGAGAGAGCTTAAGTAAGTTGTCCTGGGTTAAGGGCTAATGACAAAATCCTATTTTATTCCACTCCTCTGCTCTGCCTCAAATACCACAGATACAACTTTTCCCTGTTTTATAACATAAGAAAATGGTGTACTGACTGGACAAATAAGCTATTATGGACTGAATCTTTGTGTCTCCCCAAAGTTCCTATCTTGAAACCCTACACCCCATTGTGATGGTAATTGGAGATGAAGCCTTTGGGAGTTCAATTAGGGTTAGATTAGGAGATAAGAATGGGTTTTCATGATGAGATTAGTGGACTCAGAAGAAGAGGGAGAAAAATCAGTTGTTTGTGTGTATGTATGTGCATACACACATGTGTACACCAAAGAAAGGTCATATGAGGTCATAATGAGAAGTCAGCATCTGCCAGCCAGGAAGAGAGCTCCTACCAGGAATTAAATCAGCTATGACCTTGATCTCTGAGAAATAAAATAGAATTCTGAGAAATAAAATGCTATTGTTTAAGCCACCAGGCTATGATATTTTGTTATGGCAGCTCAAATAGTGTGTGTGTATATATATATATATATACATATATATATATAGTATTTTTGCATATCACAGGGCCTTTCAAATGGAAATGTCTCTGCCATAAAGATAGTCTTCCAGATACCGGGCCTTTGGGAGGTCAGAAGGATGAAATGAGATGCTTAGGACCATGAGAGTAAAGGGAGAATCCCAGCAGGCAGGATGACTAACTCATTAGGCACAGTTAGTATAGTGCTTGGGGCCCATGATAATTTTAGGGGCCTATGCAAATTTCTTCTCTTTTTTAGATAAAAAGGACACATGACAATAATAATGTACATGCAATAAAGAATGTAGGTTGGAATATATTAATCTTTATAGCAACAAGACATAGACTATAATTTTGATTGATTGATTGATGGAGGAAAGGGCCTATGAAAGTCAGAATGCCCTGCCCACAGGAACATTATTGATTTTCTCAGATTCTGCCAGCAAATAACAAAAATACCTCTTTGTTCTCACAGCTTTCTCAGTACCCCATTATTAGAAAATCATGGGGGTCAGAAGTTATAGCAAAAAAAATTAAGAAATTATGAAAATACTGGGAGCATTATTATGGAAATGTATAGATCCAATTGACATTCTCATAGGCATTATGACTGCCTACTAACTAGTCTACTTTGCAGATGTAATTCACCATGAATTCTATAAGGACAAAGTGGCTATTATAACCCTGCAAATGTGATGAAAACAATTTAGCATTCCTTCTAAATGTATAATTTACTGGACCATTTCAAATGCCTCACATTCTTAACTGAAATCTGTAATTCTAAAACTGACCCCTGATTAAACGCAGTTTTTTTAAAAAAAAAAAAATAACATAACTTTTTTTTCTCTATTTATTTGTTACAAACATTTATTTTCTCTAAATATGACAGTTTATTTTCCAAGGGGGAGGACACTTCATTCTTACCACAAAATGTTGTGTACTTTAAAACTGTTTATAAGCAAACATTTCCATGTTAAAATCCCTAAGTAATTATTACTGTGAACATATTTTTCAGGTGACATGACTACAATATGTTGTGTGAATCCTCTGAAAATCCTGAATTTGTTGTAGGATTAATTATGTTTTCAAAGAATAATAGTAAATAAAATCTATAATAGTACTATTATGAGTGTAAAATTCACATCCTGAGGAATAAAAATGGCAGCAGAGTAAGTGGATGCTGCATGGACATGCTCCTAGGGCCAAAATGGGATTACAACTAAAATACAGAAAACCTTTCTGAATAATCAATGGAAGACTCACTGGAGAGAATCTTGATAACTGAGGATGGAAAGTGGAGACTGCATAAAGACTGGTAGGAAGAGCAGAGGCATAAAAGGGCTGGCTGGACTCCCACAGACAGCAGCTGAAGTTAGAGAGGGATATCTCAGCTATGGGGGGTTTCCACTGGGAACTCTGGGGTCTATCCCTAAGCTAGACCTCCAGCAGAGAGCCAGACTAAGAAGGGTACCCACATGACATCTGGCTGTGAAAAGCAGGGGGGGTTGCTCCTGCCAGGGATAGATGCCTGCAAATACAGGCACCCTCTTAAAGGGCCAATGCACAAAATTCCCTGAGGAGCCACTCACCTTGTGCTCCAGCAGAGGGAGGGCAGAGTGGACTGGAGTTGTGTGAGCAGAAACTAGGATTGGGGGTTCAAGGGTTAGAACTCAGAAGGCAGACACTCCGATTTTCTGTGCTGAGTCATCTCCTCATGCTGCAGAGGTCATCTTTCTCACACAGACATTTGCTATACAGGCAGCTTTGCCTGGGGGTGGGGTGGGGAAGACAACTGACCCACCCTATTGGAAAACACCTTGCCCCAGGGTGTGGAGTTTCTGAGGCCCAATAAGACACTGAGAATAACAATTAGCCTCCAGGCAGAAGCTATTACCCGACCCTGTTGAAAAAACTCTCCCACACCTGTGAATGATTGCCTAAAAGCAATTCAAGATGGAATCCTATCAGTCTGTAGGCAGAGGCAGTCTCTGGAAGTTTTGAGTCTTTGCCAGATCTAATTAGACAGAAATAGTAGATGACACTGTGCTGTACTAGAGATCGAGAGGTGTAGCATATCTACCTAATACATTCTCACAAACCCAAACAGGCAACCTAAATGAGACAAAGAACCCCCAAATGAAAGAACAAGAGAATTCTCCAGAAGAAGAGATAAATGAAATGGAGATAAGAAATTTATTTCATATAGAGTTCAAAGTAATGATGGTAAAAATGCTCAACAGCATGATAAATGATATAGTAACTATGAAAACAGAAATAAAGAATGACATAGCACAAATAAATAACACTTGGAAGGAATACACAGCAGATTAGGGGAAGCTGAGAATTGAATTGGTGAATTAGAAGACAAGGTTGAGAAAAATCACTCAATCAGAGAACCAAAAAGAAAAAAAAAAAACAATTAAAAAACAGGAGGACAGATTAAAAGATCTGTGGACCAATGTGAAACATGACAATATTAGAATAGCAGGTGTGCCAGAAGAGG